CTTGGAAAATGTTTTCGAAAATGAAGAATTCTGAAAGTAAACTAAATGCAATCGCTACCTGAAAGCATGTTTGGCGGGAATCTGGACATCTTTGTGTTCCAGAAGGCCRGCATTTTAGCAAGGTAAGTTGAAAATTTTCAGCTAAAATTCACAAGTTTTTAAGTGCAGTGAATTGAAAACATCTTGAAAATGAAACCTCACAAGATGTAAATGAAATTTCTTCAAATATGGACTTAAGACAGCTAGATAACACTTTTGCTTCCAAACTGGATGTAGCCGGCCGGCCGTGAACATCCTGTTGTTCCCAAGCCAGCCGTAACTGGCCACTTAAGGCATGCTTCCTTTAACTTCGCCTCCCATGTTGGACCAGAGGTTACGAACAATACCTTTAGACATATTCTTTGTTTATTAGACAATCAGAATCTAGTTAGTGCACATAATGTTGAGATCTTGAGGGGTAGTGTGAGCAAAGCGAATTTATGACTCGAACAACGTGGCGTCCTTGCGACCAAGATAATCTTGAGGATAGAAGTAATGATGAAGTAGATTCTGATTTGGATTTTGAGGGATTAGAACCAGTTACTGAGTCCAGTGATAGCGAKGAAAGCGATGGCGAAGAATCAGACTCTGAAGGCAAAGATGATGAAGAGACATGGACAAACGAACTATCGGCGTACGATGTTCCTGATGACATGTTCTTTTTATTTTTGGAGAGGAAACTCTTCATAATATTGTCGCTGAAACCAATATGCAAGACAACAGCTTGCTAACAAAGCCCTTCGATTATCTAGCTTGAAGGATGTAAATGCTGTTGAGTTGAAGGTATATTTTGGCATTTGTGTGCTTATGGGGATCAATACTYTGCCAAAAATGGCAGATTACTGGTTGACTCATCCTTGCCTTGCCAATACAGTAATAAAATCTGTGATGCCAAGAAACAGATTTCAAGAAATCACACAGCTTTTGCACTTCAGTGGTGAAGCCGCAATATAAACATTAAGCGTAAATTTTTATATTGATAAAGTTATATATAACTTTCGCAGTTTCTTTGGTACATGCTGGTAAGGCTCGTTTACACTTGCTAATTTTGCAGTGCATCAAAATACGGCTAAGAGAAAACCCTAYTTTGCATATTARGCATTGCATAGTACTCATAAATATCACCCTTTATTTGTAAAGTTTATATTATGTTTAATTATATTTACTGATTTATGTTTGAATTAATTTTGCCATTATTTACTAATCATAATGACATATTTATCGTCTTTGGCAGCAAGCCTGTCTCACTTAGTAATGACATGGTAGGCTACAAACAATGTCCTTTATCTTCGCGCTAAATAAACATCCAATTGTCGGTTCTTCCTCAGTAGAATTCTGTTCAAATTCCTTAGAGAACTCTTTGTAGTTTTCAGAGCCTGAATAACCAGTTATAGAGTTTGATTTTGATAGGATAGGTAGCTTGTTTGCTGCGAACATCAGAAACAACGAAAGAAGATGCCAAAAAAGCACTAATGCGACTAGAGGAAGGTATCAAAAAGTACATGGTAAATGGTGTCGAAGGGCCATCATGGTTTGATATTCTTGACAATTTTGATGTTGTACGGGGAACAACAATTGATTATATGCATGAAATTTTACTTGGAGTGCAAAAGCAGTTATTGAACTTTTGGTTTTCACCAAGTTTGTCAGGCAAYACATTTAACTTCTCAAAATTACTTGATCAAGTAGATAAACGACTGGAGAACATTAAGCCAACCACAAACATCAAGAGACTGCCGCGCTCAATATCCCAGCATTTTAAATATTGGAAGGYAAGTGAGTTTCTATCCTTTTTATTGTTTTATGGCCTTCCCACATTATATGGAATTTTGCCAGACTCATATTTTACACATTATACTTTATTTGTTCATGCCATTTCCGTAGTTTTAAAAGATTCCATATCAAATGAAAATTTAAAAGAAGCTAATAACGTCCTACTTAAGTTTTGTAAAGCATTTCCTAGCTTATATGGGGAGCGTTATTGTACGATGAATTTACACCAACTTTTGCACTTGACTGCAAATGTAGCAGACCTGGGGCCTCTTTATACACACAGTTGCTTTCCTTTCGAAGACAAAAATGGCTTAATTCTAAAACTGATTCACGGAACACAATTCATTGACAGTCAGATTATATCGGCTGTTTGTCTAACACAAAAAATTCCTGAGTTAAGAGAATCATGCATACCACCAGAGAGTGAAATAGAGGAAGTTTGCAACAACTTACTTTATCCACCTAAACTTAAATTAAAGGTCGAAATTAGAAATGGCATTTATAAGATAGGTTCTACTTATCCAAAAGAATTGAATGCAATAGAAAGCGATTCCCTAGAAGAATGTCATTTCCGCTAATTAGAAAGTTCAATTTCTTCAGTGGGTCAAATTTATGGTCTGGAATATAAAGGCTTGAAAAGACAGAATGCTGCTACTGCGAAATATTTAATTGAAGGCTCAATCAAATTCACACAAATAGCATATTTTATAAAGTACGAAAATTACATAGCTGCTGTCGCACATCCAATCACTTGCGTGGCCTACAATCCAGCCGTGCATCTGTCAATGCATGTGAATTTGATAAGGTGGTGGTGTTTGACATTATGAACATTATAGCTTGCTGTATCTATATTTGTATAGAAGACTGCATTCCATCAAAAGCATACATTTGTGAATTCCCAAGTAGTTCTAT